GTGTTGCTGAGTTGTGTGTTTGGATTCTGACATATTGACTCTGTTCTCTCTCTTCCCTCAACCTCAGAATAGCATTCCCTACGAGCATCACACCAAGTAGACGCTCGCCATGTCCTCGTGTGACAGCGGCAGCGCGGGGTAAGTCCCTTCCAGTGTTCTCGCCGTGTTTGGTGCAGCTCTTCAGCCTGCTGTCTCGGTCGGACGCCGGCTGTGGGGACAGCTGTGTTTTGGAGCGTCATGGTCTGTTCTGACACTGGCTGCTGCTCTGTGTCTCCGTCAGGTGGTGTCTGAGGTACCATCCTCTGGTCTCCAGCTACAAGCTCCTCAACGAGCACCAACAATACAAGCAGTCCGAGCCCTGATCTCCACCATAACGTCTACGGCTCCAGCTCCAGTCACAGACTGACCCTCTGATGCTTTTCCATTTACCTTTGTGATCTGAATCCAGACTGTTGGTTTTCAGGGCTCTTTACTTTTGGGGCCACTTGAACTAGTTTATCAGGGCTGACCCGGCACCGCAGCAGGCTGATCCAAACCATGAGGACCTCACGGACCGCTGCATCAGCCTTCCTCACTGGACGGTTTGTCAGTGAGAACTCTGAATAGGAGCGTCTCGGTCTGAGGGCGGGCGCACTGTTCACACGTTCAGTTTTCATTTCGTCTCATTTGTTAGTGTTGTCGCCGACAGCCATCCCCACACGCTCCTGATTGATTCAGCTGTTTGTGTTAGCGAGTAACTCTAAACCAGGCATCCTGCTGCTCGTGTATGTGAGCTAGCAGCAGCCCAGAGACAGCAGCTGAGAGGCCAGCTTACAGCATGACATCACATTTCCAGCTGCATGCTGTTTTCCATCTTTTTTTACCGTTGGCTAAAAATCACTCATGTACTGTTTTTAGTTTATTCAAGCTGGCAGGTAAATCTTTTTGCTTCGGTGAAAAACTCAGCACTGGTTTTTTGTTGTTGTTTTTAAACAGGATTTTTAAAGTGCTAAAGTTAGCAGGCTAGCTGCAACATAGCTATGCTGCTATGGTGGCGACGCTAACATCTTTATCTTATTGCAAGTTAGTAAATGAGCTGCAGGTGTGTAGATGAGCTGATGTCCTTGTTTCTCCTGCAGCGTGGAGCCGGTTGTTTGGGCAGAACCCGAGCATAAATGTTAGACGCACCCGGGAGAGCAGAAGGTTGTCTTGATTTGGTGTAGGGATGGACTTTGGCAATAAAAAGCTAAATGTAACATAAAAGATTGCACAGAGCACGTTTCGATGCATCGCAGGCGTCCGGATACAAGCCTGAGTGTGAGTTAAACTTAAGAAGACACCTTTGCAGGGGTTGGGTTTCCCCCGAGCGTCCCAGGTTTCTCTGCTCTATCACAAAGAAGCATTGTGTTGGGCAAACACATCATTGGGTATATTTCACCAAAAGTTCTTTCACTGTATATATAATATTCTTACTTTTGAGTTCGTATTGTTTCTGCACTGTGAAACATTTATAATATTAAAGTGTGTTTGGGTTTTTGTGACGTACCAGTGGACAAGAGTCTGAACATGATTCAGGAGTCGCTGCGCCTCCTTGAGGGCAGCAAATGAGAAGCTGAAGGACTCTGTCATCCTGGTGCTGTGACAGCACCGTCTGCACCAACCAGAGTGCGTGCCTCTTTTTCAGAAGTAGTGCATTGGGTTTTTATATGAATGCGTCTTACAGTCGACTGTAATAAAGCTCCATCTCTGCTGTGAAAAGGCTCTGCTGTTGTGTTTTTGATGTGAACCTGTGCGCTCTGCTACGCTCCTTCATCACATCTCTGCTGTGTACACATGAGCCAGGAAAACAGACGGAGCTGCAGCAGTGTGCGCGCTCTGATGTTGGTCTGAGAGAGTCACGCACAGAGCAGCTCTGTAACAGCATCAGGCAGGAGCGAACGCAAGAAGGAGCTGAAACGACATAAAGTTCAAAGTTTGTAGTGCAGCAAAAATCAGGGTATTGCTCCAAACACATGTAGGAGGGAGAATAACTGGGCAGCTTGAGCTATTATATAATATACTACATGTATTATAGGTAAGTTGTTCACTTTGTCTTCACAGTACTGATGTAAGGATCCTTGGGAGGGAGGTAGAAATGTCAAAGTGAGGTCAGAGGTGACGTGTTTAAAATCTTTCTACAGTATTTTCTGTAAATGGACAAACAGCACATGACAGTTTGTAGGTTCTAAAGCTTTTTGTCAAGTTTCCACCAATAAATCATCAAGTTGACTTTGAGGACTTATCATTGATTTATATTTGTCTCTGATAACGGGCAGCACAGTGGTTACACTGTCCTGACAGTTAGCACTGTCCTGAGTTCAGTTCCAGGTTAGGGTATCGAACTCAGGACCCTAACCCCATCAGGCCGGGGTCTGTGTGGAGTCTGTTCTCTCCGGCTTCCTCCCAGAAAGACATGCAGTTAGTGGGGATCGGTGTGAATGGTTGTCTGTGTGTTAGCCCTGCCACGGGCTGGCGACCTGTCCAGGGTGGACCCCGCCTCTCGCCCTATGACAGCTGTGATAGGCTCCAGCCCCCCAACGACCCTGATAGGTGGAAGACGGTGGACGGACTTTGATGACCTCAGTGGGTGTCAGGCAAACTTTGAATGGATTGTTAACACTGGGCCACTCTACATGCCTGTTTCCAGTTATGTTTACAGACACAGTGACACCAACGGCAGGAGTTATGTCACATTATTGTAACTGAGAAACGTCACAGCATTGCTCACAATGTGAGGGCGGGGCTGCAATAACCCTGCTGTGCTTTCATATTAAGACTAATCTGTGTTGACGTTTCTCTGATTATTGTTTCATAATGAAAGGTCAGATATTACCAAACACATATAAAAAACTCATCTAAACAACATGTAGTGTAAAAATAAATGTCTTGGAGACAGCAGCTAATCAGATATTTTAATTGTCAGGTTTGGATTCAGCACATTAAAATAATAAGAAACAGCACTTTATATGTGAAACAGACGACTGTCCAGCAGAGTAAGACAAGCAGGTGAACAGCAGCAGTATATCGTGAAGCCTTTTATGGGCATGTTGGATGACAACAGCCATTCTTTCTAAATATGTTTCCTGTTCTTGTATAATTTACCAAGAAACCGTTGCACAAATGACCCAGAGGAACCCACAGACTGAGCTGCAAACATGTTTTCTTTTATTAGCACGTCAAGCTTCACCCTGAAGACGAGCTGCGTCTGCTCACAGACTCGGAGATGTGATTGAAAGCAGCTGTAGGATGTTTTTTACAGATGAATAAGACCGATAACTAAAAAGATGATTCTACACTCAAAACTGGTGATGAGTTTTTCCTCTTACAGGTGTGGGGCGTTAGAGCCATTTCAGCTGAAAGCAGCTAGTGAACCTGTGACACTTGGATATACATTTGTGATCAAATGTCAGTTCTTTCTTTTTTTTACCGTAGCATCAGATCTTTCTGTGTCCTATCGGTACAATTTATGCTATCTCGCTAATACTAATGTTAATTCCCGGTGTCTTCTGGTGCCTCCGTCACAGTCATGTCTTCCTGGACTTTCAAAACACGGACTTTTCCATTTTCTTTTCCCGTCTGCTCCTTTTTGCCTCCATCGTGTTCTTCGTTTGCCGCCTGGTTGAGGCCCTCCAGCTCAGCGGCGCTTACGGCCATCTCAATCTTAGCCTGTCCATCTTCTCGTTCCCTCCTAATGCAAAGAAAGTTCCCGGTGGCAATGACAAAGGCAGATACTGTCACTTCACAGCCCGCCAACAGGAACACGTACATGTACTGATGGGTAGCGTCCAGGAGCCGACCTGGTGGAGAGTGCAACAGTGTTAGTATGAATGTTGTTCATTGTTCCCGTGATCACTTTATAAAAACAAGGAGTATACTAAGAAAGGGACACATGTAACGGTTGGTTTGTGTCCATGCGTGTTAGAAAGATGGAGCCGAGTACATGACCTAGTGTTTGTCACTGACTATGGATGAACCAAGGGTTGTTATTTTTGGTTTTATCTTAAACAGATACACAAAGTCAACATCTCTGTAAAAGACATGACAGCTGATGTTCTTCGGGAAGTGCTGGGACAGCTATAGCTAGCTTAAAAGCATCTGAAGCTCAAACACTTTAAGTCTGGATCTACTCATGTTGGCTGAGGTGATTAAGTAGTAAACTTCACAGTATAAACCCATCCAGAAAAACCCCACCGTACTAGCTTTCTATTATTTTAATAATTATCATTAATACTGTTTTGCATCGAGGGCAACATGGTGGTTGCAACCCTGTCCTCGGACATTTTCCCATGCAGATGTGAAGAGATGCAGATTAAACTGATAATCTGAGGATTAGGTGTTATTATACAGATGAGATATTTTACTCTAAATGTGGGCGGGATGGTAACAGAGAGAGCACCATCATTGCTTGGATACTCTGACCTGCTCCAGGAGGTCCCACCAGCACAGCAACAGCTTCCATTAGCAGCACCAGGCCGATGGCACTGGAAAACTTCTCTTTCCCCACAATGGCCATGAGGACCTCAAACTGAAGTGCTCCAACCATCCCGTATGATATACCAAAGAAAATACAGAAGACCACCAGCCCAGCATAGTTCTTTGCCTGAAATGAGACAACAGGTTTCACACTACGTATACGGCCCAGTTTACAATATTCACTTATTACGACCCAGATCTGCAATCATTAAGACAACTCGCCAACTGGAAGCATTCTACTTGAAGAGGACTTGACTGCAATGTTACCTGCGATCCTATGATGTCAGTGCACCCATTGAAGATCATAGCGAAGCTGAAGAGATAGACGCTTCGAGGCCGCACACGCTTCATGCCTGCTATGAGTCCTGATGCAGGTCGGGCAAACATATCAACAAATCCTAAGATCGAGAGCAGCAGTGCTGAGTTGGTGTCCTTGTAGCCAAGGCCTTTAGCATAACTGACCACAAACACAGGCGGCACAAACAAGCCTAGCACCATCACAGAAGCTGCAATGGCATAGATTACAAAACCTCTGTCCTTGAACACACTGAAGTCCAATAGTTTCTTCTTTGCCTTCGGTTTGTCTGCAGCCAGCAGAGTGTTTTCTTCCAGCATCTGGGACTTCTTAGGGGTGGACAGGGGCCGCATGAGAGCACCACAGGCACAGCAGTTGAACAGCATGCCTCCTAGTATAAGGAATCCACCCCGCCAACCATACTGGTTTTGGAGACTCTGCCCCAATGGAGACAGACAGCATAGCGCCACAGGGCTGCCTGCTGCTGCCAAGCCATTGGCTAGAGGACGCTTCTCACTGAAGTAGCAGTTCAACATTATCAGAGATGGCTGGAAGTTCATTGCTAGACCCAGACCTGCAGAGAGACGCAAGTATAGAGAAATGAGTCACATTGCAGGGTTAATGAATCATTAATTGATTATTGGATCAATTATTCAATTAAGACAGACAGACTAGTACTTGCCACTCTGAGCATAAATTTGTTCACAAAGTCTAAATATTTAACACTTTTTGTGACTCTACCTGTAATAACTCCAGTGCAGAGGTAAATATGTGTGATGCTTTTGGCAAAGGAAGCCAGAATCATTCCCACTGAAGCAAAGACTCCTCCAACCATCATCACCGGCCTACAGCCAAATCTGTTGACCAGCACGCTGCACAGAGGGCCTAAGAACACAGTTCATCGGTCAGTACACAGAATACGTGTGCAATCAGTTATTAGCAGTTTCATGTGTTATACTTGGGTACCTGTGCCATATAGCATGGCAAGCAGTATTGAGGAGATCCAAGCTGTGGCACTGTAGCCAACCTCAAACTCTTGAATAAGGTCCTTGAAGAAGATGCTGACAGCCTTGGGGAACGCGTATGAGAAGCCAGTGATGACGAAGCATCCCGCCAACACTGCCCAACCCCAGCCTCCATCTGGCGCCTTCACTCCAGGAGGTCCATCATCCAACACCGCTCCTCCCATTATTTTCTGGGAGCTATGATGAGGTCAGTAACTGTAGACACATTGGTACAAAGCACAGACTTAATACAGCCATCAACCAACTCAATGCAAAAGCTGTGCCACAGCTGCAGATTCTTCAATATGTGAGTAAATCATACTAAACAGACTTTGTGACAAAAAGGAAAAATAAAGCAAACATAAGCTGTCTCTCAGGAGCGTCTCCTCAGCCTGCTATGCAGCCTCAGCAAGCTAACAGTGCTGCAAGTTACTGGATCATCAGCACGTACGGCCTTGTCTGGCTGTTTGCTGGTCTGGAGACATCAGCAGTTGTCAGAAATGAATTAAATGTTGCTACCTATCAATCTGTTGGAGGGGTTATAAGGTCATTTCCAAAAATCTGAACTCAATCATGCTACAACAAGGGCAATTTTTTCAAGGAGGAAATCTTCCAGACACTTGCCGATCTTCCAAGTGGATTCTCAGCTAATCCAAGTACAGACCATGCAGTGCTTAGAGAAACCGTAAAGAAACCCTAGAGCTACATTTCAAACTCTACAGTTAAATGTTAAAGTTCATGACAGTACAATCAAACTATCTCCTGTGTCTAACCCAGGGCCAAAATACTAAACTCCTCTTTATTTAAAAAATAATCTCCAGTCAGTTTGTCTGACTCAAGCTTAATGAGCCTTATAATGTCATACAGAGATGCTCTCAGGTGGTAGAGACAGGAGAGCCTTCAGTTTTCAGGCCCCTCTTCTGTGGAACCAGCTTCCAGTTTGGATTCAGGAGACAGACACTATCTCTACTTTCAAGATTAGGCTTCAAACTTTCCTTTTTGCTAAAGCATATAGTTAGGGCTGGACCAGGTGACCCTGAATCCTCCCTTAGTTATGCTGCGATAGACGTAGGCTGCCGGGGGATTCCCATGATGCATTGAGTTTTTCCTTTCCAGTCACCTTTCTCACTCACTATGTATTAACAGACCTCTCTGCATTGAATCATATCTGTTATTAACCTCTGTCTCTCTTCCACAGCATGTCTTTATCCTGTCTTCCTTCTCTCACCCCAACCAATCACAGCAGATGGCCCCGCCCCTCCCTGAGCCTGGTTCTGCTGGAGGTTTCTTCCTGTTAAAAGGGAGTTTTTCCTTCCCACTGTCGCCAAAGTGCTTGCTCATAGGGGGTCATATGATTGTTGGGTTTTTCTCTGTATCTATTATCTCTGGCTGTAGCTCAGGTGGTAGAGCAGGTCATCTACTGATCGGAAGGTTGGTGGTTCGATTCCTGGCTTCCCCTAGTCTGCATGCCAAATATCCTTGGGCAAGATACTAACCCCAAATTGCTCTCCAATGCATCCATCGGAGTATGAATGTGTGTGAATGTTAGCTATAAAGCATTTAGAAAAATGTGCTTTTACGAATATGGGTGAATGCACAAGTTGTGTAAAGCGCTTTGAGTGCTCAGATGAGTAGAAAAGCGTTATATAAGAACCAGTCCATTTACCATTATTATAGGGTCTACTGTACAATATAAAGCGCCTTGAGGCGACTGTTGTTGTGATTTGGCACTGTATTAAATTGAATTGAATAAAGCATGACCAAGAGGCAACGATGACGTGTGGCATGAGAACTATCTTGATGGGTATCCCAGGGACCAGCTGTCATCAAGGTTATGTGGCTTTTTTTCCATTGCCTATGATCAGGAGTGTGCTCATGTCTGCGTTTAAGGAACATCTTCTAGAAACACAGTTCATTTCATTTAGGTGTAGCTGGCTATAGTTGGATAATTAATTTGACTAATTCCAAGTTACATGGAAAAAATAATCACATTTCCTGAATTATTTTTGATCTATTAATTGTCTTTATGAAGTTGTGTTTCTTTTTGTATACCATAAATTAGGCAAGACATTTTCCTTTACAGTGGTGCGCTTTGGCTCTGTTGTCTCACGTCCCTTTTGTTGAACACTTAAAATGAAATTTGGTGTGTGTGGTCCACAATTTACAATAAGTCTGACTGATTATTCAGAGTAAGTATTTCCTTGCTTTGTACCATGCCTGAACACTAGCTTGTGGCTACGGCAGGAACACCCAGACCTCCCTGTCTCAAAGCCATCTCCTCCAGAGCTCCAATCAAATGTCTCTCAGCAGTGTCTCCTCAGTCTGCCCTACTCTATCTCTAAGGAAGAGGCCAGCCACTGTCACGGCGGGGTACGCCAATGTGATGATGCAGTGGACCCAAGAGCAGAGAGGGAAGGAGGTGGAACTAAGTTTTTTTTAAAAAAAGGCACACTGTTTATTTAGGCTGTGAACATGAATACAAAAATAAAGCAGCATGAGCAGTGACAGACTATAATAACTGTGACTAAACTGTGATAACTATGAATGAACTTTGATAAGACGTGAAGGGACGTACCACAGAGAGGAAGACAGAGGACTTATATACAGACAGGAGGAAGTGGAAACACAGCTGACTGAAATGAACATAATGACGCTGCAGGGGAAGTGAAACTAAACACACTGAACAAAGAAACACACGACTCTTTCAAAATAAACCAGGAAACACTGAGAGATGTAGACATGAAGACAAGGACAGACTTACAGAGGGGGACATCGATGGAAACCTAAACAAGTATAAAACTCAACTAAATCCTAACTAATAATGGCAACACGATAACTAAGCACATATTCAGCATAAGAACTCAAAATGCTGCGTCACAGACGGTTAGATTAGGAAAGTAGATCTGCAGGTAAATCGAGAGCTCTGCTTTTACACTATGCCCTCTCTCTTTACCACAACGGGCCGGTGCAGGGTCCGGCTCACTGTGGCCACGCCCCCAATAAGTCCGTCAGTTTCTTCTTTCCCTCCCTAGAAATTCTGTCCATAAAAACTGTGCACAGACTCGGTGACAAAGAGCAGCCCTGGAGGAGTCCAACTTACTGCCAGCAATGCAGACCGGGCTCCTGTAACAGTGTACAGGAAACAAATGGCTCGTAGCAGGTCTATAGAACAAAGTGCTGTATGCTTGGAAAGGACAGTATGACCAGGACCAATTCAGAATCATCAGACAACCTAACATGCATGTCTTTGAATAGTGGGCTCTAATTATACTTATATAAATGAGAAACCTTCAATGACTGTGAGAATATGAGCTTATTGAATTATGACCCTTTGTAAAATTTGAACAAATAAAATGTAAACCTAGGGGGCTTCCGGTGTGGCGGTAGAGCAGTACGGTCGCATAAGTACAGAGCTCCCGCAAGCCAAGTAGATAAACTCCGCTAAAACATGAATTAAAGCGTGAGACAAAACAACTTTGGAAGATGAGCGGAGGGACAACAAAGCAAAGAATAAAAGAACTACGGACACCCAAGGTAAAGACATAAAACACCCGAACAACGAGGACAAGCTAGCACCTGAAGCTAATATGGCCGCGTTTCAAAACGGACTGGATTGTATTAGCAAACAAATTCAATCACTCCAAAACGAATTGAAATCAGACTTCATGACATTCAAAGAAGAAATTACCGGCCAAATGAGACACGAACTGTCTAAATTCAAAGAAGACATCGACCAGCAGTTTAAGAGCATGACTACAGAACTTAGAGAACAAGAAGGGAAATTAGAAGCTGCGCTGACGCACACAGAAGAAATAGAGACGTGGAGCCACGAGGCCAATCAAACCCTGACAGAACTAATGAGAGAACAAAAATCGATGGTGACCAAATTGGATGACTTGGAACTGTGATCCAGACGTAACAATCTGCGGATCTACGGGATACAAGAGGGAACCGAATCTAAGGCAGAATCGCTGGCCCAGTTTCTGGAAGTCTGGCTCAGGGAGGAGCTTAATATTAACATCAACCTCCAGATTCAACACGCACACCGAGCGTTAACCCCGAAACCGGCAGCAGGTCTCCCCCCGAGGTCAGTCGTTGTCAATTTCCAACAATTCACAACCAAAGAGATGATACATAAAAAGGTCAATAGTCACTCTGGACGGAAGCAGGGTTTATTTTGACCACGACTATTCGGCAAGAATGGTGCAAGAACGTAAAGCATACGTGAATATCAAAAAGATATTAAAGAAAGAAGGCATCCGCTTCCAGACTCCTCTCAGCAAGATGCAAGTCCATTGGCCAAATGGAGTGAAAACGTGTGGCAAAGCAGAGGAGGCTGCTAACGACCTGCAAGTGAGAGGATACAACGTGGAAAAAGGGATAAACAGCCAGGAGAGAGAGAGAGCACAGAGGGACGTCTGTCAACCGGGGCAGCGACATGGAAACCGGTCCGGCCCACGTTTGCTGGGGTGGCTCGCAGGCGAGCTCGTGAGAGACTTCAAGAATTTCAGCATAACGATAACCATGCATGAGAGGCGTATATGGAGACGTATGACAACAAGATGGATTTAAGGTGTGTCTGGTAGGATTACATGGAAACACAAAGTTGGCTAGGGATGGACTATATAATATAATAATAAGGACTAGTATGAGTGTGACAATCTTTCGTGAGTCATATCTCATTACTGGAGGGGGGCCCTTTCAATATGAGAGACATACCCCCCAAAAACAAAGAGAGGAACAACAGGTGGGGAAGGTGGCTGGTACCTCTTTATTGAAGTCCTCTTATCTGTACATAGTTAAACTAACTTGTAACTTGTTAATGAAAATGTTTTGTTTAAACAAGGGTTCAATGGAGTGCCTGTGGGGGTCTCAAAAGACAGCCAGTAAATCACAAAAGGATAATGCTCACTACACATGAAGAAATAAAGTGTATGTCCTTAAATGTTAATGGAATCTTTAACCCAGTTAAAAGGGCCAAGATTATGACTAAACTGAAAAAGGAGAAGACACAGATAACTTTCCTACAAGAAACTCATTTATCAAAAATAGAACATGAAAAACTGAGGAAATGTGGGTTCAAAAACACCTTTTACAGCTCTCACACAAACTCTAGGAAAAGAGGGGTTGCAATTCTGATAACTAACTCTCTTAAGTTTCAATCTCACAAAGAAATAAAGGATAAGGAAGGTAGATATGTTATAGTGAAGGGTGTGTTTCATCAAACACTGGTCACATTGATGAATGTGTATGCCCCCCTGAAAGTAATAAGGAATTCTTCACATAAATTTTTGATATTCTTGTGCTACAAGCAGAAGGTATGTGGAGGAGATTTCAATGTGATATTAGATAGTCATTTGGACACAACCAGCCTGAAGAAAAATACAAATTCAATTCCAAAATGAGTAAGATATACATTGGAAGACATTAATTATTTTGATGTCTGGAGAGCTTTCCATCTGCTACAGAGGAATTATAGTCATTATTCAGCAACACATTATGTATATTCAAGAATAGACTACTTCTTTATGCAAAAAGGGAATAGAGATATAATAACAGATTGTTGGATTGGAGTGGCAGATGTGTCGGACCATAGTGCTATCTACTTAAAAATCTATCTTAAAGGTAGACCAAGAAACACAATATGGAGACTAAATGTGGGGCTATTAAACAATAAATCTGTGGTAGAACAAATACAAAAAGATGTCAAAACATATGTAGAAGAAAATGACAACGGTGAAAAAGATCCAGTTTTTCTATGGGACTGTTTGAAGGCAGTTATACGTGGGAAACTAATCGCAATATCAAGTAACCTTAAAAGAGAAAGGATGAAGCAATATAACGAGTATGTAGTTGAAATGTCACAATTGGAGAATAAACACAAACGCAAGGTAGATGTCAAGATACAACAACAAATGAAAGATATTAAGAAGAAAATTAATAATTTACTCTTATATGAAACAGAAGTAAAAGCAAGATATGTAAAACAGAGCTACTATGAATCAGGCCCTAAAGCTGCACGGCTATTGGCAAGATGTTTACAGAAACAACAGTCAACAAATTGTATAATTCTAAGACAGAACAAATGGCACATAACCTAGAAGAGATAGAAAGTATCTTTACCGATTATTATAAGGACCTGTATACCCAAAATGCACTTACTAATAATGACCTAAATGATATCAAAACATTTTTAGATGCCTTAGATCCACCCTCTATTGGAACAATACAAAATGATCGCATGACAGCAAGCGATTGGAAAATTAAGAACAAACAAGGCACCAGGCAGTGATGGGTTTCCTGCCGAATGCTACAAGAAATTTGAAAAAAGAATTGATACCCTTACTCCACCAGACTCTTAATTGGACTCACACTAAACATGTGATTCTCTCCTCTTGGAGGGAGGCAATTATCACGTTGCTGCCAAAACCACAAAAACAAAGAGAATACTGCCAAAATTACAGGCCTATATCAGTGTTAAATGTTGATTATAAAATCGACCCTACAATCCTATCAAATAGGCGTCAGTCGTTTATACCAGACCTGATAGATGAGGACCAAGCAGGTTTTGTCAAAAATAGACAGGCACAAGACAATATCAGAAGGACACATCATACACCAAATACATAAAGACAAGATACCGGCTGCGTTGATAAGTTTAGACGCAGAAAAAGCCTTCGATCGAGTCAGCTGGGACTTCCTGTACCTAACCATGGCAAAGTTCGGGTTCACTATGAAATCAATCCAATGTATTAAATCTCTCTATGACAAACCGACTGCAAGACTAAAAGTTAACGGCTCATTGACAAAGACATTCCAACTAGAGAGAGGAACTAGACAGGGTTGCTGTTTAAGTCCAACCTTATTTGCCTTGTATATTGAGCCATTGGCACAAATGATTAGACAAGACTCCCTAATAACAGGAATAGAAATCAATAAACAAGAGCATGTAATTAGTCTGTTTGCAGAGGACGTGTTGATAGCCCTCAAAAACCCCACAAACTCTTTTATGCAGCTCACAGAAATGTTAGGAAAATTTGGTACGCTTTCTGGCTACAAAGTAAATATACTTAAAACTCAAGTTC